CATTTGTCCAATTTTCAAGCTGAATAGATTACCACCAAAAACACTTCCTAAATATATCAGTATAACTCAAATCAGTACTGTTGGTGTTATCCCTGACACAACTACTCCTATACATTTGCGTTCAGTGAAATATGATTATACGTCAGTCGTTCGAACAATTTAATTTCATTTGATTCCTTTGTGCTTTAAAGGTATCTGTTACTTGTACTTACTTTAAACGTAAACAATTCGAAAACATAAATCGTATGACCTATTTCCTTCCAAGTGTTTACTGATTAAATTTTAGTGTTTTGTCAAATATCCTATGCATAATAATATCATCTTACTTATTCAGAAACGGTAAGTTTATAAACTGAATTAAATCTGGGCATATTCCAGCAGACTCATAAATTTTGAGTATGATAAATATCATGAATTTTACGTAAACATACATCTTATCCAAATGATATTTGTTTATTTGTTTTCATTCTATATCTCAATTGGACACTTAAATTAGTTCTCTGAAAAACCTCTTATTATGGCTGTTTGTAGTGTAACGGGTCAAGAATAATTATTTTCATTTTAATATATTACAAGTGTAATCAGTGTTTCGCAATAACATACAACGTTTTGATGTCGTAATATTTTATCTCATCTAATTTCATTCGAAGGAATAAATAGTGATATTTTCATTCAGTAATTTATTTTTTTTATCTACAAACTGTTAATAACTTGTGTAAACAAATCATAAAGTACAGTTTACATTGAATAATGGCATTAGCTTTGAAGATCAATGAGGATTAAAAAGCATGGTTCAAAACTCATCTGTTCAACGCCCTACGTTTTTATACACTATAGGCTAACAGAAGTCAATGAATCCGTAATAATTATATGCATCTGAATGAGATTTAAATTGTAAACAGACACCTTTTTACTCCGATGAAACATATAATGTTTGCCACTTTTCATTAATTGTCAGATTGTATTCCATCAAATATAAAATCTAATAATTACAACTGTTTTTGACTGAGATAGATAACAGTCATTCTAAGCATCAGTAAATAATAAATACAAGTGTACTGTTTGTTCTTTTATACAGCTACACTGCAATATGAGAAACCATGCATAAGAAATAAGCCTACCAAAAGTTTGCTTCCAAGGCACTATAAACACTTGCAATATATCACTTAGGGATTTATGCACTCTTGTTGTAATTTATTTGAATGGCTTGATTAGCATCAGAACTCTACAGATTTTCTTCTTATTCAAATTTAATAGTTTTCTATGAGTAATTTTTTGAAACACATTCTTTCAAAAAGCTAATTTATTTTATTCTTGGAGGTGATCATAAGAATTGTTACATTGATCAAATGGTATTTTATTTTACTAGTTAATTAAAAACACGAATTAATTAGTTGTGATGAGGTGTTAGAGTTAAAAACAATACCTACGATGACAAAATTGTTCATGGAGATCTAACTGATGAATTTCGGATAAAATAACTTGCCACATTACTATTATTGGTACATATATATTGACATTATTATCGTTGGTTTCAAATAATTATTCTTACCTGCATATGATAGTGAGATAGACAGAAAAACTGCAGTAAATTCGAAGGTAAACAACAAAATCGATAAATCTTAGCATGACATGGGTTGGAGAATGTTTTACATTGGTTAGCTTAAAGTATGAAGAAATTATCACTCAGATCACAATAACCAGTAAAATGTTTTATAAGTTACCGAGGTTAGCCATTAAATTGTGAGATGTAGATTTTGAATTATCAGAATTTGATTGTATTTAAATAAGCTAATCACGTACCGTTCACAATTGTGAAAAACTTGTAAATCAATGGCTAGTTTTCAGTACCGACATAACTAACAGCATATCTGCAAATCCACCATTCGTATATTTTACATCTGTTAAATGAAAAGGTTATCTGAAATAGCATTAAATATCAGTCAAGTGCAGTCTAGGTTTTCAAAACTCATCGAAAGCGAGAAGTGAATAACGTTAAACCGCCAGTAAAAACCTGGAAGCATGGTTTGGACTATACAGGTGAGATACAGTGATCAATGATTTTCAACCTTGTCGGATGGGAGACAGTTACTTACTGAGCCGATTGGTGAGGTCCCGTAATGTCATGGATTGACTGAAGTGAGATATTAACACTATCTGATAAAGACTCACTACTCTAGAGGTTAAGCGCTTACGTGCTAAAGTGAAGGTCCTAGGTATAATTCCCGCTTGCGAGGTTGTTTTTTTGTACGTTATTCTATTGCATTTATGTTTGAACATTGGTTGCAGCCTACGCACATATCCATTCTAGTAGCTTCAATTTTGATCGCTTGAGTAATCTGGTGGCTTATTTATTTTCTCATATGAATCTGCACAGTTCAAATCCCTCTTATTCGTTTCTTGGTATTCGCTTTGCTTCGTGAATTGTGTTGCTCAAAAGTAAACATTGTCCACGTTTCATATCGTCCCTTGAACTTTATACGCTTCTGCGTGTTGTCTGGTAACGGTTATCGAGGTAACCAGTGTTGAAGTTCCGGAGTTACATATACATGGTACAATATTCCCACATAAATGCATGCACGAAGCCACACGGATTTCTCCGGATCACACTACTCAGAACCAAATCGACTATGTAAGTGTCATTAAAAAATTACGGGGCCAATCGCGGACGAGAGAACTAAGAGAATCGAACATAGCTTCAGATCAACACTTGGTGGTAGCCACATGAAACTCAAACTCAAGAAAATTTGGACAGTGGGCAGACAACATCACAAAGTTTAATACGGCCTTTCTTCGGGATATCGTAAAACTCAACGAATTCAAGATAGCCCTCAGTAATAGGTTTCAGGCGTTGCAAGATATACCTAGTGGAGAGGAAACAAACATGGAGGATAACTGGGAAGGGATCTAGGAATCGATCGCTTCAACATGTCATGAGGTTCTGAGCTACTAGAACTGCTATCACAAAGGATGGATTTCTGTATGTACTCTTGCAAATTTGAAGGAAGGAGGAACACGAAGGCAGAATTCAAAACCAGACGAACAAGAGCAGAGAAAGCCAAGCCACAAGTTGGACACACAGAAGCAAACAGGGAAGTGAAGAAGAGCATCAGAGCTGACAAAAAAATTTGTGGAAGATCTAGCAATGACGGCGGAAAAGGCTGCAAGAGAAGGAAACTTCAGACATTAGCATGATACAACAAAGAATCACTCAGGTACCTATCGTAAATCAGAACGATAAGTGAAAAGCAAGGGAGGGTAATTAATCAGCAACATTGAAGAACAGCGAAATAGGTGGGTGGAGCAGTTTAAATAACTCTTGAATCTTACCACAGAAGGTCTTCAACAGAGTGTTGTTAAACTGGATGAACGGCTTTGTAGGCGCTGAACTTCAGTTTCTTATGGATCGATCAGGTGCCGATCAAATTGCAATACTACGGGTCATTGTGGAACAATTATTTGAGAGGAACTCACCACTCTACATCAACTTAATTGACTACGAGAAAGCACTTGATAGCGTGGACAGGACAACACTATGGCGTGCCTGAGAAGATAGTTAACATCATACGGAATTCTTATGATGGATTAAACGGTGAAATCGTACATGGAGGACAAGTGACAAACTCATTCAAGGTGAAGACCGTTATCAAGCTAAGTTGCTTACTCTCACCCTTTTCCTTCCTCGTGGTGATCGACTGGATTATGAAAATGTCAACATCGAGAGGGAAACACGGAATACAATGGACAGCTTGGATGCACCCGGACGACCTGGACCTCGTAGATGATCCAGCTCTTCTATCCCACACACAACAATGACTGGTGTAGCAGCAGGTCGCAACATACACAAGAACATAAGCAAGGTTCTCCAATACGAGACAACAAGCACAGGACAAATCACAATTAACGAAGAAGCTTTAGAAGATAGCGAAACCTTTAAATATGACGATGCATCAAGGTCTGATGCAGATAAGGAGGTGCGGATCGGCAATGCAAGCGCTGCATTTTTATGACTGAACAACAAAGTGCGTTTGTCAATGAAACTTCTCACTCGTAGAATTATTTCTGTCCTTTAGCCATCATCATCATCACGTTTAATCATAACATTTTCTAGGATATCGTAAAGTTCTGACTCATCACCAATAAACATACCGGACATACCCGTTCAACTCATGCGGTAGTGAATTCACTGGAGAGAGTAGTTGTGATTTGAAGTCCATCACATCTTGTTTACAGTAGTCAACCTCTTAAAAACACCACCAGTATTTTCAGGCCAGAATGGTATAGGTGTTCAAGAGTTCTATTCTCAAGAAGCTAAGGTGTATCTAAATACGTAAATATGTAAATATGCGAGAAAAAAATTGAAAAGAGAAGTAATATCACGTCTAATTTTTACCGACAAACACCCTATAAACTTCAAAAAGAGTCTGTAATTTGAAGTCAGCTGGTTATAAACTGGACCTATTCACCGTGCCTATCACTGAAACAATGTTTATTTTGTGATCCATAAAAGAAATTCAGAGATGAACTATTGCACAACTAAGAAGCAAAACTGAATAAAAGTACTTAGTATGACTGCAGATAACGATGAGTGCTCCACCTATCCCTTGAACATTAATACTTGAGAACAGGACTAAAAGTAATTATCGTTGACTGCAAAAGATTTCAGCAGACCACATATAAAATGGGATTCCATATACTTATCCTCACTCTAGATGTTGCAACAGGTCATTCGAACTTTCCTTAGTTCAAAAGGATCATACCGTTGACTATTTCTAACCAGAAATTCGGTTAGCTCGAAGTCTGAACTATCTGAAATTGTCTTCAGTGCTCAGAGGTGATAATGATAATAGGACTCGATCTTTACTCACAGTCTGTCCTTCGACAAACAATACATTAGCATATGGATTATTTTCCGACACACAAAGAAGAGCTGTTATCCATTTCTCTGATTTTAATACAGTTCTTTGAAAAATACTGTAAAACGTACTCTCCATTGTTTAGTTTTTCAAACATCAAGGTCGCGGTCAGCAAGTTTTTAAAGACTTCACGAAATCATGTGCGGATCTCGCTTATTAAGAATATTAGATCAATCATGCACTATTATTACTGTTCGCAGATACCAAAGAATGAGTTGCGATACGATTAATCCCCATGTAGTGAAGCTTCAGTATGCTGTTCGTGGACCGATAGTACTTAGGGCATCAGAATTAGAGAAAGAATTATCTCAAGTTAGATTATCTTAGTTTTTACTCATAAATTAGGGATCAGCAAAAAGGTTCAATAAAATTATCCGTTGTAATATTGGAGACTGCCATGCATCTGGTCAAAAGCCCATAACATTTATACGTGAAGTTTTGTCCGCCGCGACAAATACCCATATTATGGATACTAACCTGGTTCCAGACGATGCCAAACTTAGAGCCAGAAGGTTTCTGGACAGTTGTGGAGGAAGTGTCGGTGAGTTAACTGAATATTTGTATAGTTTTACTTGGTTCGCATTTTACATAATTGATTACCGAGAAAGTCTGACAAGGCTAAGCGCCTAACGGATTGTCTGCTTGATAAAATAGGCGTAGCAAGAAATTTTCTGTCAACCTACCATTTTTAAGATGGTTGTTACGATGGATTGGTTACCTGTGTTGTTTTTACTCCAAACAGACAAATTAGCATGCTTTCATATATTACTTGCCTTGTTCGAAGTATCACTTATCAAAACAACAGATAAAGTTAGTCCTAAAGAAGACTTAAATGGTACTGAATATTATGTGTGAGTCGGAAAATTCGATCAGGGGTGACTACATTCGAAATTGGCCTAATGCCTTGTGGATAATATTGAAAAACGGTTTCCGTTTGGGGTTTATCATACAGCTTAACATATAAAAATGTTGGCTGCAGAATTTCACACCAATCACTTAGTAAACTTATAATATCTAAAGATTTAAGACTTCATGCTCAAGTTGTTTTTGCCAAGAGTTTATAGATATATGGATCAATTTTTCTGTGATCTACAGCTGTAAGTGGTTACTGTACTCGAGATATTCAGCCGTCGAGCTTTGTTTTGTAGTGTAGGAATAGGTTGGAAGAAGGTTAGGGGCGGCCAAACCAAAACATTGCAGAAATCCATGAAGTCATTGACGAGTGGACTTAGCCATGTCGGTAATTGTCGACTACGTGGTTGGGGTCCGCGAGATGATAATAATCAATGGTTAGGGACCCTGAATGACATGGCTCAAAATCGTTCGCAAAGGCGCCGGTGCATTTATTCTTTGTGTTCTCTCAAATCCTAATCTTCTGGGTTCTTCAGCAACTCTAGTTTTTACTTTCTAAACTTTTCTCATTAAATCATACTTCTTGAATAATATCTTCTAATTCTAACCTCTCCGATTACTTCCAATACCTTGACTACCTCTTCTACTGTTGGATTTGAATTGACAATTACATCTCTGTGCTGATGTGGTATGGCGACATGAGCTGATGTACTTATGTACGAAGTTCTACGTTGCATCTGACTGACTGACTGAGATATTCAGTGGTAAGTATCGCTTTAAAATAAACTCATATATTTTACATTCTATGTAAGTTTTTGGAATTTGCGAGCACATCATGTTTGTTTATTTCTAGACCTTGTATGGCAAAATATGACAGATGCATTCAAGTTATGTCAGTAAAGTTCACCTAAACTTTCAATGTTGTTGCAGACTACAATCAACCAATAAGACGAAATAAAGGGAAATACAAAAGGGCTTTGACTAAACCGGGATCAATTAGGTAAATGCATTGCGACCACTATGATAACAACAAATTCTCGGGTCTATAACAGTTAAATATAATTCTCTTACTATCTTAAAGTTAGATTTTCTTACTACTTCAGTCACTCTCAAACTCAATTCGTCTCAATTAACTGGAATTCATTGTCCTGCTAATGCATTTGACTAATATTGTTTCTCACCTAAAATAAAATTTTTCTCATGAGTAAATGCTTAAGGATTTACTTAAATCTTAAATTTACTAGGTGTGCATTCGGAATCGGAAATCTTACATTTTTATCTATAGAATCGAATAGCAATTTCACATATTTATTATTTTAGATCACAATGTTGCTTAGTTTTATGTCGTGCTGTTAACCTTTCGTCTATACTGAAGTTTCTGATGGCTAGAAAACCTGATAACCAAGATTATATTTCGAAATTAGGCTAACTAACTCTTAATAATTTTATACCTGTAAGCTTATAATCAATTTTATCATATTGTAGGAGTTTACAGTCAGCCTACAGGCGTAGAAGTTGTCCGTGAAGATGTTGCAAAATACATAGAACAACGGGATCAGTTACCAGCTAATCCTCAAAACATTTTCTTATCCAATGGGGCAAGTGAAGCCGTTAAGGTAAGTATAATAACTCAAATTGTTTGGTAACTATGGATTTAGTATTCATGTTAACAAACTTGATATTTCTTCTAATTCCACTCACTTAATCCTGCCACCAACAACGAAAGCCTAAACATAAACTGTGGCTCAAAAGATCAGTTGAATAATTAATGAAATTATTTGTATTTACGAACTGCACATTTTCGAATTTGTCCAAAATATACTCTGGCAATCATGAACGAACCAATACGAGAAGACAGAAAAATATGAATACTCATAAATCGACTTGATGAAATATCGATAACGAAGGTAAAGGTGTGCAAAATATTTATCAAATATGATAAATACGATTCCCAAAGTTTAAGTTAAAATAGGAACTTTCGTCTTTCACTTCAGATTTTTTGTCGTAAGTTCATTAAACAAACATTTGAATCCATACTAAACGTAGATTCTCTGTTATCTGCCTCAACGAGGTTTGTTTTGTAGTGTAGGAATAGGTTGGAAGAAGGTTAGGGGCGGCCAAACCAAAACATTGCAGAAATCCATGAAGTCATTGACGAGTGGACTTAGCCATGTCGGTAATTGTCGACTACGTGGTTGGGGTCCGCGAGATGATAATAATCAATGGTTAGGGACCCTGAATGACATGGCTCAAAATCGTTCGCAAAGGCGCTGGTGCATTTATGCTCTGTGTTCTCTCAAATCCTAATCTTCTGGATTCTTCAACACATCTACTTTTGTCTTGATAAACTTATCTCACTGAATCATGCATCTTGAATAATATTTTCGAACCCTCATCTTCTCGATTACCGGTAATACTTTTACTATCTCTACACTATGGGATTTGAACTGCCGATTGCGTCTCTGTGCTAATGTGGTATGGTAACTTGAAGTTGGATTGGATTTCCCTTGCCGAAATTTGAATTAAAACCTCACCGTATACAAACAGTAACTGATAGGTTCATTAAAATATAATTTCCTCAATAAATTGTCGTTAGTTGCTCAATGTTAGAAGAGATTAAATGGTTTTTCCTTAAGAATAAAGCAAACTCAACAGTTTCTGCTTCTAGCTTATTCGTTCACATAAATATCGTTCCACCTATTTAGATTATGAAAATAATGTAATTTTATCAAGGGTTATGTATACAGTGCTGTAAGTGTCCGTACCATCATGTGATTGTAACTCGTGGTCGTAAGTAATGGAAGGCATCAAAAGCAATATGAATTTTCAATATTTCAATTTTTTAAAGATTGATCACTTTACATCTCATCCAACTGACTTGAAAATCCAGTATTAAACGCTTTTAATCATCTTCATGTTATCCTCCTTTAGTCAATTCTTCAACTAATATCCACTGGAGAAGATGGATGTAAACGTGCTGGTATTATGGTCCCTACACCTCAATATCCTCTTTATTCAGCAACCAATGCTGAATATAACGCTTATCAGGTAAACTGATATATATATATATATATATATATATATATATATATATTCGTTCTAATTTATTGGTTTGAAACATGGCCACTAAAAATAGAAAATGTTCCTAGGTTACTAGTATTCGATCGTAGATGTCTTAGAAGCATTGCTCGTATATCGTGGGACCACCAAGTAAGCAATGCTGGTGTTAAGAAAAGGGTACTAGGTAGCGACGGCAGATCAATTGATGAAGTAGTGGTGAATATTCATCGGTTGAGGTTATTAAAACGTCTGTTACGTAAGCTCGACCATCAGCTACCTCGAGCGATATTTTGTGGTTCAGGAGTAGGTTGGAAGAAAGCAGGGGGCTGTTGAACGAAAACATGGCACAAATCCTTGAAGTGATTGACAGCTGTACTGAGCCATGTTAATAGGTGCAAACTTCCTGAGACAATCGGAACCGCTGGTTAGAGACTATGAATTATATGGCTTAAAATCTTTTTCCGTGGCGTAGATGCATCAATTCATTGTTTCCCCCAAATTCTAATCTTCTGAGTTCTTCATGAATGTTTTTTCCATTTTTAAATTTACTTCACTGGATTATACTTCTCGAATTATATTTTCGAACCCTATTCTTCTCTACTACTGGCAATGCTTCTACTACTAAGGTAACTGAATTAAAAGTTCCATCTCTCTGTGTTAATGTGGTATGGCAACTTGGATTGCTGTACATACATACGAAGTTCTAAGTTGTAACTGACTGACTGCTAGAAATGAGGAGCTTTCCTCTTGAATTTAATCGTTGATGCTGTAATAAGACTCAATCATATCTTTTCGCCCATCAATGCGTGCTCAAGTAACCGTGCACACGTGGTTATATTATTATCACTGACATAATATGGCTCACATCAGATCGCAATAGCTTAGTTTCATTCACTCTTTCTCTTCCCTTAGATACAAGGCTGTTAAATCACGATAAAAAATGTTTTTTCCGCTAATCCATATTTTCTCCTCGATTTGTATCGTTGACCCCTAATATTTTCTGTTACTGCTACCCTGAAATTCTCTCCGACCATTTCACCTTGCTATGCTTTATGTGGTATAGCAACAGGAATCAATACGCACATATGACAAGTTTTGTATTACATATGACTAAGTTGTCGACAAAAAGTAATTCTACTGGATTAATTTTACTACAGCATTAATGACTTTTCAACTTTTCCTTCTTCAGTTTTGTCAAATTAAAGTGAATTAAATTAAAGTGAATCCTACCATTGAGCTCAAAGAACGAAACTTCATCAAAAAATTATTTTTATTCTTTAATTAAATACTGTTTCACTTAATCTACAATAAATCTACTTGATATTACTCCTCTACATCAATTTCAATTAATCTGTATCAATTCTTCAAACAGGAGAGAAATATTAAACAAAATAAACTTTTTTAGGAAACAGTTATTCATACTACTCATGTATTATGACTTAATGATCATATGTAAGTTCATTTACAAACTTGTTCTTATTAGTCTTTACTAAACCACTTAGTAGTTTGATCAAATTGATCGAGATTTTAATTCACGCTTTTTAATTTCAATATTTGTAGATAACTCAATAAAGGTGTACTTTACTAAAATACCAGTTTATTGGGTTTATCATCAGAAATCCAGTAATACGGTGGCATCGTTTCCCTATCAATATCTAGTTAGATTTGATGACATTTGTCAGCTTAAGGATAAAAATGAAAATTCAGTATACACAAGTCTCCTACATTATATGTACTTGTTTATATAAGTCTCAGTCAGTTACAACAGAACTTCGTACGTAAGTACATCAGTCCACGTTACCACACCACATTAGCACAGAGACGCAATTGGCAGTTCAAATCCCATAGTGTAGAGTTAGTAGAAGTATTACCGGTAATCGAGAAGATGAGTATTCGAAGATATTATTCAAGAAGTATAATTCAGTGAGATAAATTTAGAAAGCGAAAGATAGAGGTGATGAGGAATTCAGAAGACTAGAATTTCATAGAACACAACGAGTAGATACACCTGCACTAGTTTATATAAGTCTAGTTCAAAATAAATGACAAGCATTATGTTTTTTCTTCTAATTAAAGTAGGATAATTATGAGAACAATAAAAATTTGACTTTTAGAGCTTTATGTATTGTGTATGTATGTATGTATTATGAATATATATATATATTTATATATATTTGTACAGAAAGTCCACATAATCTAATTAAAATTGATATAAAATTTATTTATTTTCCTCATATAGATTGACTACTATTTAGATGAATCAAATGGATGGGATTTAAGTATTGAGAATTTAGAAGAAGCTTTAGAAAAATGCAAAAATAAATGTATCCCACGTGCTTTAGTGGTAATTAATCCTGGTAATCCAACTGGTCAATTATTATCAAAAGAGACGATTACAAATGTTTTAAAATTTGCTTACAAGCATAATTTAATTGTACTAGCTGATGAAGTTTATCAACATAATATTTATGCACCAAATACAGAATTTATTTCATTTAAACGTGCTTTATATGATATTGGTGAAAGAATTTCCACAGAATTACAATTAGCATCATTTATGTCATGTAGTAAAGGTTTTATGGGAGAGTAAGTTGTGTTTTTGAAAGTTAATGTAAACAAGAATGACTAAAGTGTGTGACATGATCTAATCTGATTGAATGCTAATTGACTATTGCATCTTTAATCGTTTGCTTAATAAATGTCAACTCCTTAACTCCTAAGCTTTAAAATTGAAGTAGTAAACATTGAACTGTTTAGGTTACATTTCATCTCTTGAAATATATTCTCTAATCGATCTTAGGTAACCAATCAAGTACCTAATAGAGATACAAAATATATGTGATTCGATGTACAATTACATTGAGATAATCGGTTGGAATTTCTGAACTTAATTAATGAAATCTAACCAAACATTGCTGACTTCGAAATGCTTGAACGATTGTTAGTGGTATGTCAAGCCTCTCAGTATAAACCATTGGTTGATCATCATCTCACAATGAATAACATCTATCATGATACACAACTAATTTACAACGTGCAAAATATATTGATCAGTTTATCTACTAAATTTTCAGGCAGTCAGAAAAATATCAGTTCTGACTGGTAGAAATATCAGCCGATCTACTTTTTACAAATAATGAACTATGTTTAAATACTTATCTGCTTAATTTTTTCCCCACAAATGTCGTTTATTTTCAAATAAATCGATATATGTAACTAGACGTACTGTTTGGTCACATATGAACAACACACATTGATTAATTAAACTGATTTTATTCTCTGGTTTAGTTTATTCAAAACAAACATAATCAAACGGTTTTAAACACTCATTCGTTTTATTGACCATTTAAAATAATTGAACAAATATGATTTCTACATGAGGCAACTGGAATAAACTATTTTTTTTTATTTATTGTTTCTAAATTATTAAATTCAATTATGTCGTAAATATAAAATTAACTTTCCTTTTCTAGAATTCTGTTCAGTACAATAATTGACTCCTACTTAACTACTATGATTGTCATTTTTCTGAAATTTGTATGTACTTTTTATCTGATACATTCTGTCCTTCATTTTCACTATCTGAAACACCGATTAACCTCTTTTGATTTGTTTAACGATTTCGTGGACTGCATTTTCAATGATATCGCGATTATATATACAGACAAAATAGCTACAACTGGATGATTCTGTTTATGTTTTCAGAATTTCTTACCACTAATTTTCGATATCTCAGAGTCTTACCATCGATAGTACACTTTTAAAGCTACAACTAGTTGGTTTATATCTATGAATAAAGTTGAATCGTAAATAGTTATTGGGCAGGTTTTACATTCAGTAACTTCTAAAACGTAGAGAACAGCGTAGTAGGATTTTCAACAGAAAATTGTAATAATGATCACTGTTGCATAAAGAAAATATTTTCCATTGAGTTTACATTTTGAAACAATTTATTGGTGAAGCAATGTAATCAACACATCATTCGCTTACACTATACATCATGATAATTAAATTCTACCCTTTTCTTTTTTTGGCTATTCGTTTGATACAACAACAACAACATTGGAAAGTATGCATAATAAGAGTATTTTTCAATCTGATTAACATGTTAAGATCAAACGAGAAAAAATACCGGAGTGACTTAATAGTTGAAACACCCACCCTGTCTTCAACGAATAGGTAGTAGTACAGATGAAATGTAACCAGCAGTAGAACTCAAAATATTTTATTCGTTTTATTTGAGACTTTTCTAACGGATTTAATGTTCTTTCCAGAACTCGAATCCACTATCTTTTGATTTACATGTCAACGTGTTATCTATCCAGCTACTGAGTTCAGACGAGTTTTAATTTAACCTCTTTTGGATTCTACCACTAGCCACATTACATTTATTTTATTTAAACTTGTATCATTTTAAGTATATCGAGGCCATCCTCATATGCAAACTTAGACTGATTCAGTATCATTCTAAATATCAACAACACGATGATCCAAATCATTATGAACTAAATTAAGAGTAGATAGTGGTTTTGAGCATCATTTCAGATGATAACATTTGATGTCTTGCACAAACTGTGTCTCAACGTCGGTTGCTTAAACTTTTGTTTCTACATATGCATATGAGTGATCTATCCAAATATACGTCTATACATTGTGATAAACTGACTGCCGAAGCCATTACTGAAGAGTTGATTCAATACATCTACATAATTTTGTTAAAAAAAATGACCACCTAGTAATCTGAGTATACAAAATTAAGATAATCATTATAGTTATAGAGATTGTTGTTTTACATAGAAATCATGAATCTATCATAGTTAGACCACCACTAAAAACCTGGGAGTACTGGACATCCGTTTCGTCGCAGTATGGGACTCTTCAGCAGTGCGCATCCACGTTGGGTGTCGGCTCAATAGTCTCGAGGTTGAGCGTTCGCGCGCGAGACCAACGGCGCTGAGTTCGATTTTCGGGAGCGGGGGATCGTAGATGCCCACTGTAGAACAGTCACATACTAGGACTAAACGGCCGTCCAGTGCTTCCAGTTTTCTAATGGTGGTCTAACAATGATAGATTTATGATTTCAATGTAAAATCAAGATACTTTTTAATGTTTCGTTTTTAGCAAATGAAATAATAAGTTTAAAACATAATATAGAATGAATTCATGTTTTGCAATACATAAGTGATTAATTCATCAATTATCTTTAAAATATTCTTATTTCATGTTTGGAATTAGATGTGGTCTTCGTGGTGGCTACTGTGAACTTGTGAATTTCCCTGAAGAGGTTCAACAACAGCTTTATAAATCCCTTTCAGCTCGATTATGTTCTACACTATTAGGTCAAGTAAGTTATTTCATCTAAAAGTACAAAAATTATAGACTTTGTAGTATGTGATCTGTCTTTGTCTCTACGTCCTTGACCTTTTTTTTTACATAAATTCGCTTCATTCAGTCATATACAGATCTAACATCATCATGAAAATAACACCAATTGTTCATTAATGACATTTTCAGAGCATTATAAGTTTTATGACAAAGAAACACAAACTATCTTCCCCTCTCTCTATACTTCGCATTTAATTTTTATGTGAATGACTGAAGAAAATATAATGTATATATATTACTATACATCGCATTAGGGAAGAAAGATTGTTTATAGACTTAAAAATGAACCGCTATGGTATGAGGAATGAGTCAATCAGATTCTTATGCGTATTACAAATATCATGTATCATAAGGAGTAGAAACACGTCTATATACTGTTCAAAACGTTTGGAATGATTACAAAAATAACTAATATTTGCCACCAAAATGTAAAAAAGATAGTTCTAGACGCGTTAAGTGTTTTTTTAAAAATTATAAATAACGGGCAAATTGACACTATTAATATATCCTATCCCTAAATACTTTATATTGAAACAAACCTTAAGCTAATGGCACTATATTATATAAACGGACAAATTGATTAAAGCCTTTAACGCTAAACTATCACCCTAACCAAGAACAATACGCGGACTCTTAAAACTTTATCTCTGTCCTTTTAAGAGTACACTAAGATAAACAGTCTGTCCATAAGGATGATTTTGCATATCAGCTTCTATTACTAACAGCAATCGAAACTTTACTGAATGACAGTATATAGTTTCGGTAGATGGTTACATCATTGCTTTAATTATTGGTTATTTGAATATTCTGATTAAAGGAAAACATTACACAGAACAATGACCCTATCAAACTTTTAATAAAAAATGTTTATATTGTCATTGTTTCTAAGTTCGTATAGAACATCGTGTTGTTGAAAATATTCAGCTGATAGTTTTCTTCCAAACTGGTTGATTTCTTTTGGTTTTCTTTTAGTTTTTACAAGTTGATTCTAAGTAAATTTATCGTAACCGTTTTCTGAAATGACTTTTTGCCTACTTATAGCATTAAAGTAAGTTGAATCAGCTTTCATAAAAGAACTGTAAACAGTATCTATTATCTTCTCATTACTAAAACGAATATTACACAGGCCTTACTATTGTGTCCTATTATGAAATACATAACTTGTATCCAACATAAGTTTAATATAATTATTTATAGTAAACTATTCCGTTTGTCATTATTGATTTCCTGTCATGTAGTTAATAAACCATGAGATTTAAACCATGTACACCTTATCACATAAATTGATTCAGGTCAATTTTATCTGTGACGTATTCTAATCGGGTCTTATTTTTGTGTGTATGTGTGCCTATTTTCTCTGTATTATTAATGTGTATGTAATCCGTTCATGATAATTTGTTAGTTCTCGTTCTCAAATATTATATCACCTGGTAAAATCGTCTAATCGACTCGTTCGATTGTTACAAATAATTGTTTTTCCAATTATTATAATCCTCTTTCTTCTAACTGCCCAATTAAACGCTAGATTAATATAAAGCTATGATGAAAAATTAAAGAAATTTCCTCATTCTATTCGTTTAAATGGGAATTTCCACTGTATTTTTATTATTCTTAATAGTTTGTTCTTTGTAATCATTACAGTTTTTTATTATTCTACTATTCGTGTGATGTTTCTCGTCTCTGAAAATTAACCAAAATAACTTGAAAATGTATACTCTTTTGTTTTAAAGCCCGAAAATGATCAAGTCTAGGGAAATATTAATTAGCCAAACAAAATCCTTAACAAACATTTTAAAAAAATTGTATTTCCATTATTATAAAATGCTTTTCCAATGTTGCAAATGTAGTATCACAATTATGACGCTTCCTAGCAAGAAATCCGTTGAATACACTAAATCCTAAATAAGAGGAAGCTACAACGTAGAACTTTGTATGTACGTACGTACATCAGTTCGAGTTGCCATACCACATTAGTACAAAGAGATCCTTCAGTATAAATCACAAACATCAGTCTTTATTATTTAGGATTTAAGGACTGATGAATAAATAGTAGTAAGCTCAAACAAGCACGAAGAAATAAGTAATCATAGTGTGAATGCTTTGCATAATCAAAACACAAAAGATTTACTGCTTATGACTAAATCTTACGATCGTCTAGGTCGTTTGTAAGGAGTAGCAATACATATTAAGCATGATAGAATATGGAGTCAAGAACGTTTTACCTTCAAGTATAAAATTTGGGAAATTACAACTGAGATGAAGTATAAGGATTTGTTAGACGCCTACTGTACCTAAATATAGGTAATTAGATGATGATCTCTGTTTGATAAATACAAAACGATAATTTCTTTCTGTAAAATAAATCTCTTCATCAACTGGACTTGTTTGTGTATCGCCTTGATTTCTGACAACAGTATAATTAACGTGACTACTTTTTATCATGTTTTAAGTTCAGATAATTCTCTGTTAACTGTAATACTTCTTTTTAGTGCATAGATTAAACATTGGAAAAAATAACAACAATTCAGTTGTCCAGATTGCCTTGCCTCTTTTCGTATTAGTAAAATTTAAATTTTCAAAAGTCTTTACAGATAGGTGATGGGATAGCTAAAGTAATAGTTATCTTTTAACCATCAGATCACAGGATTGTATTCAATTTACACATTTATGAAATATGCGGCAATTTGAAACTCACATTTATGTGTAATAACTTGTTTGATAATTTCAAGAGATCAAAGTTATAATACTTGGTTTTTAAAAAATTAATTTATATCTTACTTGAAAAACTATTTTCAATTTATTAAGTCACCTGTAAACATAAATTTGTTTTTTGTTCCACTTTCAATAAGTGTACTTCCTTATTACTAAGTCAAATGATTTCATCATATCTATTATTCTTATTTTCGTAATTTTTAGCTAACAATGGATGTAGTTACTAATCCTCCGAAACCTCATGAACCATCTTATGATTTATTTATGAAAGAAAAATCAACAGTCCTTCAAGAACTTAAACAAAAAGCTGAATTGACTACAAAATCATTAAATTCACTTCCAGGCTTCTCATGTAATCCAATCGCTGGAGCAATGTATGCATTCCCACGAATTGATTTACCTAAAAAAGCAATTGAAATTGCAAAAGTGAGTTATTTTCATGATATATGTATATATATATACATTGTTTTTATCTCGTTATTCTGTAACAGTTCTTATTTGGTTAACGCATTTAACTTCCAACGTTTACGTTCTGGTCCAAAACCACGCATCACCTAACTCTTTTCACCTGAGTAGTATCACTAATACAAGTGTAATAAGTGCACCTCAAAGCCGAATAAATAAACCCGTATTAAATCTATAAGTGAATATCTGGATCGTTAAACAAAAACTACTCCTACTAAATCTAACCACGTTATGTAATCACAATTCGAGAATCCTAGTTGGATGACTTACATGACAGTTGTTTAGTATTAATACATAGTTTAAGTATTAATCATGAGCGTACATTAAGCAGTAAGAAAAAGTGCGGCATCGGTATTTGTGCATTTGTAAATGTTAACAGGTGTTAATCTAGTTTTGTATGTTTTAAGTTAGTAAAGGATTTTATCGATCGTCTAACCTTGAGTTGCTGGCCAAAACACTTAAATCAGTACAGTTGTGTCTATGTAACCAACATTTATGTGACCTCATCTGCACTATATTTTCGTTAAAAAAATCATTAAATTTATTGTTACTACCTTTAACGGTTTATTTTCAGTTATATGTACTGGCTTTAATACATGTGATTATAGCTGTCTTTCATCATTAGGCCCTCAATATGTCGCTTTTCCCACTTGTTAAAATGTGCATTTCCATCACTGACGTAGAAATCTATGTGACTCGTGTAAACGTGCTCTATTGCTTAGTTCGGATCATTGTATTATTCATGCTCTATCTGAAGTATATGGCGAACTTGAATAGAGTACATTCTTATAACATGACAAAGAAATCCAAATACGAGAATTACTGATGTGATAAAAACAAACTGAAATCTATTCACAACAAATACCGGTGATGTTTCTTCTTGTTGCTTTAAATTTTGCTTTGATCCATTTATATTACCATAACTAAATATATTTCGGATTGGAAAAGAAAGAATATTCAAAAAGATGAACTCCACTGAAGTACGAAAGCTAAATAGTTTAATAGACCAAGAGATTAAAGGTTAATTAATTCGATGTTTATTCAGAAACGTCTCTCCTGTAAGAACTCCCCAAGTATGTGGAAATTATTTAAAGAGCTTACAGTCAGGAGATGCACGACTGATGATACTCAACTGAATGTTTGTAACCTAAATATGTTTTTTTATGCGTCTATAATCTGATTTCATGCCAACTATATTGAAAAGTTTGGAGAAGTGTTGTATTTTAATTTTTTACTGAAACTTATGTTTGAAAATGTCTCGAATAACTTAATATGTCCCAATGTTTAGGACCTGACAAAATTTCGAATTTCCTTTTTGAGAAGTTTACTTTCGTTCTTTGTCGCCTATTCAGCGAGCTCTTCGCAACCAAATTTTATACCAAAAATGTGAAGAAAGATAAAGGTAATCCTAATACCAAAGAAAGTATCTGATGATAAGAATGCAAAATTTAAACGCATAACTTCACCCTTTCTCAATGATGTGGAAAAACTGTTTGTACTTCTAATTCATATGATGATCAATCACTGTCATATGAAATACATAGATATTTAATCTAATGGCTATAGCATTAAACTTTTCACCATTGAATTCTTAGTTCTAACTTTATTTTCGATAGTTAATTAATATCACTAGTTCAATGTAAAATAACATGACTTGGGATTAACCACATGAAACCATACTTGGCTACTGAGCCTTACACTAAAAATAAACATTATATTCAAATGCTACTAGAGTATTTAAACTTAATACACACAACTTCCTTCATACAAATCCCTTATTCCTTCATGATGTTTTACATTCTCATCATTCATTTGAATATTCTACTGGATACTATTACTGCAAATATATTTGCTTGTGAAGATGCTGTTCCAAAAGTAAGTGATAACTTCGAACGCTTCAGTTTGCTACATTTTACTTAGAAATCAAAAGAATACAACCGGTTATTCAAAACTTGAAGTCATTGATAAAATGTTTATTAAATAGATTTTTTCCCAGCTAATTAGTATACTGTTCTCGTTACTTACCGATGTTTAATTAAACCATTTTCTTTTTAGTCGAAAGGTATGCAACCAGATTTTATGTACTGTTTGGAATTTTTGGAAGAATATGGCGTCTGCGTCGTTCCAGGATCCGGATTCGGTCAAGTACCAGGAACTTGGCATTTTAGGTAAGTGAATTTGCAGATGTCCATTTATATCCTTCGTTCTGAAAATTATTAGAACTGGACTATAATGCTATTTGAAAGTTAAAACAAAACGATACAATAATAACGTTGCTCACGTCATAAAAAATATTCTAACGACAGCCTATTTATTCAATTTCAATTCAACCTTCTGAATTCCTCATCATCTGTATCTTTCTAATTCTAAATTTATCTCACTGAATTATACTTCCCGTATCATATCTTTGCTCCCTAATCTTCTCGATTACTGCTAATACTTCTACTTTCGCTACCACTATCGGATTTGAACTGACAGTTGCGTCTCTGTGCTAATGTGGTATGGCAACCTGAACTGATGTGTGTACGTACGAAGTTCTGTGCTGTATCTGTCTGTCTGTTTGAGCAGAAGAAACGACTAAATGGTCTACATTAGTTTTAGAGCTACAGTGATGTGTTAGTTAATCCAATTTTCATTTAAATCCATATGCAAAAGCGAATGTAATCAAGAGTTCCACTTTTTATTGGTTCAATGAAAAAATTGTTAGTCAAATGTTAAGTAATTAGATTTTGGGTTGTGTATTATTTTAACGTCCCTGTAAATTTTATGTTTCAAAAGAAGAAAAACAAATAAGGACATGACAAATGCAAAGTTATTATTAAGTCACTTATAAGTATCACCTCTCGTCCTTCTATATGATGAGAGGATTGTGTTTAAAGAAATAGACTTTTCGTTATATCTTAGCTTTGTTTTATTGAGAATCAACACATTTACAATTATTTGAACTGTTCTTTTCTAAGATGGGCTTGGTGCTTACATTTATTTTCTTTTTAACGATGTTTGCAAGCCAGGTTATACAGGGAGAACAGTTACAATCCTAACTTAACGATAGAGCTATCTGTCATGTATATATGGCGAGTAAAAACAATAATCTTAGACTAAATCTATATGTATGTATCAGCTATTCCATATATTATGGTTAAATATACAATACCTACAATCTAATCATCAAGTTCTCTGTTTATCTTCATTTATTTAAAATTTGTTCTATTTTTACTAACTTATATGGTTTATTTGAACGATTAATTGTTTCATAATCGGTCATTAATAAAATCGTTGAAATTTTTGTTTTGATGTCTTACGAAAATATCCCTGATTCATCGATAAAGTGATATATCTTCACGTTTTTATTGAAAAAATTCATATGACCCAAGTTTCCTTAGACAAGTTGTATGTAAGCTCCACTTATATACTTAATATTAGGTCATCACAAACTACAATGAATACTGTTTCTTAAATGCTTTCTCATTTACATGCTATAACTCTTTAATATTTCTGATCAATAGTCTTTTAGGTTCAAAAACAGATTGTAATTAAAATAATTTTATTACCATTTTCTTGTCCTACAGAATAACAATTCTACCTAGTATTGAAGAAATGGAAATTGTCATGGGTCGTTTGAAAGAATTCCATACAGCTTTCTTGACAAAATATTCTTAAATTGACAAAGTGTATGATGATGCAATAAAGTATCTAAGAAAATCTGACATTTCTATTTATATTTATACACATATACATGTACCTCTCACATTCATATTGTATGCAGAAAGATAATTTTATTTTTTCAGATTTAATCAGAGTTTATTTCTGTTCTATTCTTTTCATAAAAATTACTTGATTCTTCTTCAGTTGGCTTTGAATCAATCGTGTTCAATTATGTAAATGGTGTATGTGGAAAAAAGTGACTTCAATGATTGAATAATTTTTGATTAATTTCCCTCTCTTTTTTTAAAAAAAACGAATTTTTTTTCTCCATGTCATCCACCTGACTTCCCGTTTATTTCATTAACATGTTTTCTTTTCTCTAAAAGATAAAAAAAAGGTTAAGAAGAATCCCTTTGATCAGCAGTATAACATAATTTGATGAGTGATTGTTTATCTTTAATCATATGAAAAAGCGTGAATTACTAAATTCATTATGGTTTATGTTTATTTATTGATACATAACTGATATCACATGAAAAATCGATAAAACTCCAATAAATATTTATTATTTCCTCACCCTCAACCTATTTTCTTATGGAATATAATCTATAATTTCAACTGATCAGTTATTCAGCGTAAATACATAATTATTATTTTAATGATTATATCGATTCTATCTATGATTCTATCTATTTTTCTGAACTAAAAAATATGTTTCACAAAATGTAGAAAGGAATTTACACTTTAGTAGTATGATTGATCAAAATCAGAATAAATCATAACACTACTATCCATTAAGCCAATATAGAGAATATTTCTTAGCAAGAAACAAAAAGAGTTATTTTGAAATTTATCAAAAATATTTTTATTTTTCTTTTGAAGAAAGTTTCCGCCAGTCAGTAGGTCTACTCAACTTCTTCAGTTACAGTAGTGTTCATATTTTAATATATCACTTATCCAATGGGTGACTGCTTAATTTTATGATAAAAGATATTCAGCGTTGGATTCAAGTAGTTAGATAAATCTATGAAGATAAGCTAACACTTTCACACATTTCATAGTAAATTCCATCAATCGTGTATTCGATTAGTTGGAGTTTGTCGTTCAAGGATACTGGCTTACTTATTATACTAGCGTTCACACATTGACTCGAGTTAATTTTCTAATGTTTAAAATATCCAGAATATTAATTTATTAGTTCTCTAGTTTTGATCGGATTTTAATTTGAGTGATTTGACAACACATGTAGATTCCAAGCGGTTGAAAGTAGTCGACAAGAAACCTTGAACATGAATTTCGCTACCTGAATAGTCCAGTGTTAAGGTTCCAGACTGGAATTGGGTGATGCGAGACTGAATCCCCCAGGAGAATTAGTTCCCTTAAGATCACAGGTGCGCCCTGCTGATAAATACTCGATCTCATGAAATCTAAGTTCAAATTTTCCTATCAACTACCTTCAACCAACTAATAGAACTTTCACGTATTAATCCTTATTCTTCTTATTTAACGATGTGCACATAAAAAAGCGAAACAATAAGTTATAAAGTGCGCATACTTTTAGTATTATCATAAGTATACAATTTTAACAGACGAACTTTTTTTCTAACTTCAGTCATCATCTCTGTAGGTAAAAATTTTCGTTTTCGTTATTTCCTACTTATTTCATTCAACCTCTTAGTATAAAAACTAGATTACCCTCTTATATTCATCATATATTATCAAATCCATGTTTGCAAATCTTCAAAAATGTTTTATCGTCTAAAAACTCAAAGGGAAACATAAATCTGTTATATAGTCTGATTTGAAAGCTTTAGAAACCATTTGGAATTTTTAGTAGTTATCAAAGTTATTGCAATACCGCTAAAAGCAAATCATCAGATTTAGGCAAAGCACACAACAGAATCTAATTTAATATTGATTCTTCCTAGCAAATCATTTATTTCACAATAGGATAGAATCAACAGTTCGAAGAGGACAATATTTTGCTCTTCATACATAGTGGATTATGAAGTATATAGTCTGCGTTATCAAAATCAATATCTTATTTTACTTTTTCCAATAAATTTAGTGACCGAGAATCCATGCGAAAATTCCAATTACACAGTACTTGTCCAATATTTCAAACTAGCCAACTGAATGAAATATAAAAATCACTTGTTGAATATATGGGATAAAACAAATCATCTGATCAATGCATACAACCATCTTGATGTCAATGTGTGTATAATCATCAAGTATTACTGACCAATGAATCAATGAACTATAGGTGGTTTAACATGTCCTGTATGGATACATAAACATTACAGTTAGTTTACTCATAGCTTATAATATTTTTCTAAATGGCTATGAATTACATTTTTCTCCTGGAAAAAATATAGGTAGTCCGTTCTGATCAGTAGCAGTTTGTATGTTGACTCAACGATAGTGATCAGTACAGTAAAGTGTATTCATGATAATGGATTTGAGAAATCATCCAAATCAGTGAATAATTCACTAGTGTACTTAGTTGGTAAAAAAAATAAACATCAAATATGATTTTTTTAATGTTGAGAACAAGTATCCAAACCTAACAGTCATAAAAGATGCTTTAGAATTGAGGCAAGTCAATATTTTTGATCATAACAGTAAGCATAAATAGTCTTATTTATCGTAGAATTAGTTATAATGAATCCAGAATAAACTGACAGTTTTACTGCACATGTATGCACCTTTTCTTTGATTGACAATATTTTACTTCTGATCGATCAATATTGATCAAAATTCATTCAAACATTAGCTTCCATATATCGTACTGTTATGAAGGATATTGATACTTTGATTTTTTGAGAAATTAAACTAAGATTTTTTCAAGTACTAGCAAATAGTTAGTAGTAGTAAAAACTTTTAGAAAAATTAGTTCGTAAGAAAAGGATTGTTTCAGTCAACTTAAAAAAACTTAAACATTGTCCAAAATTGAGAGAATGATTGTTTTGAATTCTCACTCTGAATGTCACACATAATGCAATGCATTCATTCTAACTTTGATCTTCAAAAGATAATATAATCACCCTAAAAGACTCATACACCACATGAAAGAAGCTATTTTTACGCATGTCATTTTCATGCATTAAACGACTGAATTATTTATTGTTTAAAACAATAGTTCACCATAATTAGGAACATTAATTCAATAAGCATATACGTAATGCATAGTATTCGATCAAGAAATCAAGTAAGACTATCATCATGGATTTGAAAATGTTGCTAAACAACCTTGGGAAAATTTAAAGGCGAGTTTTCCAGGAACAATGTCAAATGGTGTGTCATTTAATTTATTCAAACTTCGTCAGTTGTCCTTCTCACAAAATTCGTGTACTAAGTTAATTTTGAAGAACAAAACGGCCAAACTCTACGGCATTACTTATTTGAAAATGCTTCTACTAGTAAGTGGAGCAGTATGAGACATTAATTGTTTATTAAAAAATGGACGCTGGAGAATTTTCAAGATGAATAAATTATTGATATATTTTAGATATTTGTATGTATATATATATATATATACTGTTTTTCTAATAACTTTGACCATAAACCTAAGACCTGAAATCACTCAGTAGCAGCTTCATACATGTTTCAGTTAAACATGTAAACCATTAGACTCTGACTCAAATGTCCCAGTCTAGCTATCTCCTTGAGATTTGAAGTCCTCAAGCTCGATCCTACAGTTGAATTCTAGAAAGTCCCATGCTACAGCGAAACAGTTGTCTAGACCATTCTGGATTTTAGTGGTTCTTTAAGTTAGGTTAGAACAGAGTAGGTTAGAGAATACTAGTCGTTTGCCTATACTCTATCGGGGGTAACAGTCGTAAGTAAGTAAGTTAAGCTAGGTTGGTTTGTTATCTGAATCACAATCAACAATCTTCACAAATCTACACACTAATCACATTATTCGTCCTGGATGTAGAAAGTACATACCAACTCAAACTAATATATATACATACCATGAATTTACGCCACAGGATTGCACAAGCTGATCGAAAGCAGATCACTCATGTGACTTCAAAGTGTCATTTTCACATGATTAGCTATTAAAATTTATTCGTGTACGTTTTTATGTGCTATCTGTTTATCAATTTATCGTATTAAATATGTGGACGACACAAACTGACTAAACGATTCAGTGAACTAATAATAGAAAAAATAATCCACACGTCACTACTTATTATCAAACTAATCCGCTTGATAACTTCATCAATCCACACTACATATAATTCATAGTTTTTACCAACTCTATAACTTATCCACAGGGTCTGTTGATTTAATTTGTCGCGTTAGCACATAAATTTGTCACAAAACAGAAGCAGCTTAAGAAATGCACTAAACTGGGGTCTAAAACTATTGGATTAACAAACTAATGCTTTAAATAATACTTAACGGTGATAGTGCTATTTTATGAATTAATCAAAATAGATATCCAATACCAGTTTTTTTCACTTATCAACCATAATAGTTGTGATTGGATTGTATGAGTGTAGTTCCAAAACATTACTTACTCATTTTTCAATCAGAGATTGAGTAACATTATAGTTTTGTAAACATATTATTAATCGTTTCACAACATTAATTTATTTTAATACAATTCTTAAAAATATTTTATTCAAACAAACTAAAACATTAATAACTGGAATTACAATAAAAGCTCATTAATGATACTAATTCGAAAGAGACATTTTTGTCACATGTCACATGTTCATGACCCACAGAATAACACACGTGACTGATTACATAAATAAAACACCAATCATAAGCTGAAGATTTATTGCTTTGAATAAATTTAAAAAAGTAATTTGAAAGTAGGCAAAACAATGAAGACATTTTTAAAAGTATAACATATCAATTATACGATTGATCATATATGTAGTAATCATGTTAATACACATAAAATGTCGTAACTAAATTGAAAATTTTCACAGAATTCAGTTACTGACAAGAAAACAGCATTTTCGTATACTTCAATGTTGTTGTACTTTTATTTTACAACTATCTTTATTATTGATGTCATATAAAATCTAAGAAAATTAAAACAAACCTTTGGAGGCTAAAATATGATATCGCTTACTCATCGATCAAGAGTTAATTATCAGCAATAATGTATGAAAATTAACTGGTAAATTATCGATTATAAAGTAGAAGTAACTATGTTTATTTAAAAAAAAAAAACACATTCATGTTAGAATAAAGATCATTTACGTAGAAATTAAGTAAAATTTCAAAATGATTGATTGATTCATAGTAAGTAAAATGCAAAGTAGAATTGATTCTGGCGTTGAACACTAGAAAATACTTTATCCCACCCAATTTTATTCCAATCCATATTAATTTATTCATTTATAATCCAATCACATGGTGAATTTTTTTTTCACTTTTATATGATCAATACGTTCTGGCATTATCAATACTTTGTCGTCGATTCACAAAACTAGAACATAGAGACTTGTATTGAGTTATTGAATCACACAAAAAGCAAAATCAAAAGTCATTGAACACGTGATTGATTATGGTTTTGTTTGATCAGAACATTTCGACAGTTCACAGTTAGA